CCAGTAAACACACACACACCCCGTCCCTTTTTCCCAGCCCAATACACAATCACAATTATAACATCAAGTAGTAAAGCATGATACTAAATAAATAAAGGGTTACAAGTTAGATGTTAGTAAACTATAAATCCCCCAAAGAGATTTCGTCCTCCTAACCACAAGAATCGGACGCGGATTATTCGGTATGCCCCCTCTTTTGCTGCTTTGTTGTAGAACTAACCTTGGATGCCTACCAACGGTTATATACCGCGTAGCGCCAACTGCAGGGCCTCAAAAGAGACGGTAATAATGGGGCTTGCCCAAATCCCTCCTCACATCAAACCACTTAGGGTCCGAATACAACCGCTCCGTTCAAGGGTTCCGAAAACCACTTGCGCAAGACTTTAACCTCCAAAGAGGGAACGTATCCCAACAATCCATACATCACACATTATCATCTTTTTATTACTCAAGTGATCGAAAAACCCAATACCATCCCAATTAAGTTTTCCGTTGAGTTAAATGTTTTAATTCAAGGTTAGACCAACTTAACAAGATAATAATATCCACAAAAGCATGCATCATTAAGATGAAGGAGATAAATAACATAACCATAACACGTACACTATCATGCCAAGATATGATCATAAGCTAATAAGCATTTTCATGAACACAAGAGCATAAAATACCCGTGCATAACAGAATTTCTAGATTTGATATCACATGAGGATTAGAATGAAAAGGACTATTTTAGATTTTTCACCGGACTCGGCCTTTTTATGGTTCGTAGAGAATTTAATCTAGTTTCCAGAACATATTTCAGAAATGGGATAGCTTTTCTAGATTCTAAGTTATTTAGAAAACACTCCAGCGTTGTCCAGATTTGTCGACCGTTACGAAAATTTGATTTTCTTGCAGACCGTTCACTGTTTTTCGATGAAACCAATTTTAGTTGAAAGCTAACTCCTTAAGGAAGATTTTGACATAAAATAGAGGTCCAGAATAATTTTCTACATTTTTCTAGAATTTTTGAAAGTTGGCTGCGAAAACAGATTCTAAGTCACAATACCCAAAACAAGAAGATTTGTGAGAAAATGGATCCACTAAAGGAAATTTTTTGTTTCTTTTGTAATGAAAATATGCTAACTAACATATATTAAACTCAGAAAATTTGCTTGAAGGTGTGCCTTTGGAAAGTTTGAGAGATCGATATGAAAAAGATAGTTTTGTATCGAAATAAGGGAAAATACAAGAGAGGTAGAATCAAGGCCCAACTCTTATCATTTTTAACACAAGTAACTCATTAATAACACATCTGAAAAAAATATTTAGAACCCTTAAGAACATGTATTTGAAAAAGGAAAATGAAAGAGAAGGTTGTGTTGTGGTTTACTTGCTAGGCTTGAACAAGATGGCTTCTCCTCTTCCTTCCTCTCCCTCTCAAGACTTCTCTGTTGCTCTTCTTTCTCTCCTCTAGGCCGAATGTGTGTGTGAGTGTGTTGTTTGTGTTTGCCATGCTAGGGGGTGGTGGTATTTATAGACAAATTTTGGTATAAAAAGACATAAAGGCCCACTAGTTGGAATTGGATGGAAAAGTTAAGATTTACTCGGAGTCTAATGGAATAGAAGTGATTAGGGAGCTTAATCATAGGATTAGGCAATATCTAGTTGGTCCCTAGTTGAAATGAAACTAGCATTAGAAACAAAACCCTAGGTTTAGGGGTACCAGGTGTTAGGGTTTCTAGAAGACCATGATTATAATTTTTGCAAATAGGCTTCTCACATCTTCTTAGGGTGCCCGGCCATTGGGAAGGGTGATGGGGCTATTTTTTGTATTCAATTTAGGTAGTAGGGACATATCTCCCAATGTATATATATATATATATATAGATCTCAATTTGATTGATGGTACCTATAATATAAAATACATGTACTAATTCTTGGGGTAATTTTTGAATTTAAATAAAGAAGTGAGGGCTTGGAATTAAATTCATGTATTGGACCCTTACTTATGTAGAATTAAATTAAATTAAGCTAAGAAACCTAATTCAACTAGGATATTCCTGTTTTGATAAAAAAAAAAAAAGGGTAACCGATAAGATTCGAAATAATTCAAGGAACTGAGGGGCTTTAAGAAAATAATTCAAACATTAGGGTTTTAAAGAGAATAAAATTTTCAGGGTCTTCACAATAAATGGTTCAGTTTAGCTGGCATTAAAAGAAAATTTAGTATTAAGGCCTTGTTTGTCATAATCTAAAAAAGTCAAAAAGTCACTATCCTATTTAAATTACATCATCTCTCTATCACGTCACTTCAAACTCAACCCATACCCAACTCATATTTAATAAAAAGTTAAAAAGTGCACTTATTTATAACATTCCAAACAACCCTTAAATTGACTTTGGTGGTTGAAAGTGGTTGGAAAAAGATATAAAAAAAAAAAGAGGAAAAAATACAACAATTCAGTGTGTTTGGTTTCAGTTTTCTAAAAATTGAGTTTTTTATTTTTCGTATTTTTTTTTGTTTTTAGTGAATATTTTTAAAATTTTAAGTTTTTTTTTTTACTGTTTTAGATGCACATTACTTAGATGTATCTAAATAGTAAAATATTTGTGAAAAAAATATTTTAAAAAATTAATAAATACGAAAAAATACAAAAAATGTACTGAATTTTCGTATTTTTTTTATTTATATTTTTGGTATTTAGTGAAATTTTTAAAGATTTTTTTTACAAATATTTTACTTTTTAAGTATATTTATGTTAGGTGTGTCTAAAAATTTTAAAATTGTTTAAAATATTAAAAAAATTAATTGAAAACAAAAAAATACAAAAAATAAAATTTTCTAAAAAGTGTTTTTTTGAAAACCAAAACAAATAAGTTGATTTTATTTTATTTTATTTTTTGTGTTACTATTTACATTTACATTTTTTAAAAACTAATTGAATATTTAAGGGAGAATTACTTGACAGTTGAGTCGGACAACAAAAATTACAAACTAATAAAAAAGTTTATAATATTAATAATTAATTTTTATAATATTTTTGTACTTAAAAAAGTTTCACCGACACAATGTCAGTAAGTCTCCCAATTTTTATTTATAATTTTCAAAATTCTATAAATATAAATAAAAAATGGGGCACTTTTTCATAAATCATTTTTCACCTACTTATATTTCATTTAATCCACATTATTTTCTTATATTCTAATAAGTCCTAGGAATGACATAATTACTAAAATACCTTCAATAATATTCACATTTATAGTGTGAATGCTCACATTGACAGTGTAAACAACAGTCACATTGTAAAATATGAATGTTTTATATCACCAAATTGTTAATCGTTCAAAAAATATTTATAGGGGCAGAAATGTCTAAAAAATACTTTAAATATGAAAATCATGATTTGGTAGATCAAATGTTTAAATAATAGGACTTATTGAAATACAAGAATATCTTATAGACTTATTGAAATACAAACACTTGAAAAATGATTTTTTAATAAATCTGCCATAAAAAAGTATAAATATAAATGTTATGCCATAATTTATTTATTTTGAAGTACTTATTATAAGGGTACATTATAAATAAATATGTAAATTACATTGACACCCCTCACATTTTAGAAATTACAATCCCCTCCCTAAGGTTTAAAATAGCATTACCAATTGCCCCATCGACTAGTATTAGTTGGAAAAAAATTCATTGAAAAAAATTTTAATTGAGAATTAATTGGGAAAAAATTAATTGAAAAAAAAAATTTTGTTAGTAAAATTTTTAAATTTCTGTTTAAAAACCAACGTAAACTCATTTTTTGAATTTACATTTTTCCTCAAATTTATAAACTGAGACAACCATTTATAAACTAAAAAAATTATCAAACAAAATTTTATTACAGTTTTTTAAATTTTTGTAAATATAAATTGAAAACTGAAAACGAAATGGTTACCAAACAGGTTTCAGATGGTAAAAATGTCGTAACATTAACAAATAATTAAATAAGTTACTAACGTAAGAAATGACTTATCAAAAAATTCTTAAGTTATATATGATTTGATTTTTATACTTTTTTTAAAAAATAAAAAATTAATTTGGTTAAGAAATAAAAAATAAAAAATAATTATCATTTTTTATATAATTTTTATCTTTCTAGTGGTTAGAAATAATTTTTAGATTTTTTTTAAAATAAAAATTAATTTGGTTAAGAAATAGAAAATAATAATTATTTTTATATAATTTTTATCTTTCGAGTAGTTAGAAATAATTTTTTACAAATTAAATTGAAATAGCTATACGTATGTATATAACCTGTCCAAAAGTTAAAATGATAATTATTTTTTACCCTTAAATGATAATTATTTTTTATTTTTTTTATTTCTAAACTAAATTAATTTTTAATTTAAAAAAATATTCTAAAAATTAAACCATACATAGCCTAAGAATCTTTTGATAAGTCATTTACGTTGGTAACTTGTTTAATTATTTATTAATTTTACGATATTTTTACCATCCGAGATCTGTTTGGTAACCATTTCGTTTTCAGTTTTCAATTTATATTTACAAAATTTAAAAAACTTTTCATAAAAACTTGTTTGATAATTTTTTTTAGTGTTTAAATGGTTGTCTCAGTTTGTAAATTTGAGAAAAAAATGTAAATTTAAAAAATGAGTTTATATTAGTTTTTAAATAGGAATTTAAAAATTTTATTAATATTTTTTTTTTGGAATTAATTTCTTTTGAATTAATTTTTTTCAACTAACACTAACTAAGATGATAATTGATAATACTACTTTAAACTTTAGGGAGTGGATTAAAATTTCTAAAATGTGTGAAATGTCAATATAATTTATCCAGTAAAGATAAAATTAATATTTAAAAAAATTAAATTGTTGAAAAAAATCTATAATAAAGCTTTAAACTTCGAAATGTAATTTTCAAAAAGTGAAAAAAAAGTGTGATAAACATAAAGCTCATGGTGTCAGTGTAATTTAACCTTATTATAAAGAGTACAAGCGATTGAAGGGTGTATTCGTTGGAGAGAGAAGTGAAATAGCCAAAGTGCTAACTTGCAGGAAACGAAATACCCTTTTTTTGTGCTTAGGGCTTCCTTTCCAATCTCTAGTCCACTAGTTCGAGAACATCCAGAGCGAGTGAGCGAGCGAGAGGTTCTTCAAACAATCTGCTAAGCTAAAAATCTAGGGTTTGTTCTCGATTCATCTTTCATTATGGCTCCTGATCCAAACGGTGCGAGTGGCAGCGGAAGCACTCGAGAGGATGCTTCGGTCAAGGTACCCTCCAAGGACCTCAAGAAGAAGGATGACAAGAAGGACGAAGATCTCGTAAGTTCAATCTTACTCTTTGATTTTTGTTGTTCAAAATAATAATCTGAGAAAGAAAAGCAAAAAGCTGTTGATTTTGTTAAATCTAATTTGGGTATTATATGCAGTCGGAGGAAGATTTGGCCTTGAAGGAGCAATTGGAGTTGTATGTGGAGAGGGTTCAGGACTCCGATGTTGGGTTGCAGAAGGTCGCCCTCGAGAGTATGAGGTATTAGTTTTTTCATTTTTTTTTTATAATTTTTTTGTAATGATTTTAGGGTTGTGTACAATATTGAATTGTTGGTCAAACAATATATCACTGTGGGGTCTTGATTGGATTTTGGTTCAACTATGTAGTTAGAATCATGTCAAACTGAGAAAATTAGCTACGGAATTTATTTTTTTATTTTTGTTACATGAAAGCCGAGAACTTTTTGCTGTAATAATTTTTTTTTTTAAAACAATGAAACATAGTTAATTCAATGATTTTATTTGCTTGTTGGCCTTGCTTAACGATTTGGGCAATTGTAATTTGGAACAAAAACAACTGAGATATGGTTAATTCAATGCATATGGTAGCAAACTAGTTTTTATTGGACAAAAAACTTGCTGGTTCCCATTAATTGTCGAGTATTTTGCATGTTTGCCCACCTAAACCTTATGTTCATTATGGGTTTGTTAGATTTTGGTCATTAAGGGGGTGTTTGGCATGAAGGATTTTGGCTAAAATAGCCAATAAAGACAAAAAAGACTAAAATAACCAATAATATAAAATGTCACATCCTACACATCAATTAATCACTTTTCCTTTCCCAACTATCTATTCAACTACAAAAAAATCACAAATCATCCCCAAGCGCAACTTTTTTCATCTCATAAAATAGCCAAAAAGCCAACTAAAATATCAAGCTCCCAAACGGGGTCTAAATCACATTCTCGGAGTTCCTGAATATTTACATAAATTTGTTGTAAGTGATGCAAGAGGCTTTCTTGTTTATCTGGTTTCTGCTCACGCAAAACACTTTGTGTGACAAGAGTTGTGACTGGTGGTAGTGTTACTGGTGTTTTTGGGATTTCCATAGAGTTGGGATCGAAATGCATGCAGTATAAATTAAGTCAATACTAATTGAAGTTCATGAAACTTACAAAGACCATATAGGATTGGCATATAAAAATGGCAAGTAAAATCATGATTGGACTGGGATCTTTAATTCTTCTGGTAGGTTGACTTTAACAGTTTATTAGGCTTTATAACATGAACCTTTAGAATGATGAATGGGGATCAGGGATTAGAGATGGGATATCTGGGTAAAGCGAGGAGAGCATAAACTAGAGTTCTTTCCCTCCCTTCATTTTTTTATATTAACATGGTTTAAAGTACCAATAATACATTGAGATTTAAGTAGCACAAATATGGCTACGTGACACGACATGGACACACCAAGAAATCAATTTAAAAAAAAAAATATAGGATACGACATACTTGGATTGGGACACTTTAAGACACTAATTACATCAAAAGGCCATATATTTTATGACTTAAATATCAAGATATCATTCATTTAACAATTATATTCTAAAGAATGCAAAACAATTATAGAACATTGTAATGCACATGATGTATTCATCTTTTTGCTTGCAGGCAGGAGATAAGGACTTCAACCAGCTCTATGACTTCAGTTCCAAAGCCTTTAAAGTTTTTGCGTCCACATTATGGTACTCTAAAAGCTTATTATGAAACAATGGCTGATTCAGAACTACAGGTATAAGCTGTTGGGATGGACCTCTTGGATTGTCATGTTCTCTCACTGTATCCTGTCTGATTCACATTTTTCTTTTAACACAGAAATTCCTAGCAGATATACTTTCTGTTCTGGCAATGACCATGTCTGCAGAAGGAGAACGGGTATGCTGAGTTATTTTGAGGATTTATGTTTCATTTATTCTATAGGAAGTCACTTTGTTGTAAGGTTGGCTCGCTCTTGGTTGTGCGAGGCATTTTTTGGCCATGCAGTTATCCTCTATCTCCCTTATGTGGTAATCAATATATGTTTATTTGTTCATGTTGCTTTTACAACTTGCATGATGTGGTAATAACAAATTTATTTGACATAGAATGTTGGATGTTTGTGCTTGTGTGCGTAATACAGATTGAGTTCTATGTTTTGTGTCACGTTGAAGTGTATCTGATATATATATATATATATTTTTTTTGATAAATGTGTATCTGATATTTTTGTTATTATGTCAATTCTTTCAGGAGAGCTTAAAGTACAGACTGCTGGGTTCTGAAGGCGATATAGGCTCGTGGGGCCATGAATATGTCAGGTGAGCAACAGAAGATGAAAAATATACACATATATCAAAAGGGTAACAGTTTCTATTCAATGATTCATACTTGTTCTGTTGATTGGTAAGATATTTTAGTTTGTCTTGAATTCCTTAGGGCGGCCTAGTTTTTGGTGTGGAGTAGAATCAGATTGAAATTTTTGTAATGAGCACGATGTTGGTTAGCTTGGTAATTACATTTAAGTGGCTTTAGGACACTTTACATGTAATTCATTCATGTTTCACTTAGTAATTATGTTTCACTAAGTAATTCATTACTTCATGGTCTAATTTGTATGTTATACCCTCTACACTACGACGACCTTCCTTTTACTACTTAAGGCGGGGGTTGGTATATCAAGCTCTTTAATTTTGTGGAGAAGTAATTTATTTATTCTGTAAGGCTTGTATCTACAATTGAAAAGCCCAACCTAGCCCCCACTTTTGCTTAAAACTGAGGTAATAAGGAGAGGGAAGCTGGAGCCTTATAACCTGCACAGATGGGGCAACTCCAAGCGATATGGGACACATTCCAACGCACCTTCCTGGACCACAACATACAGTAGTTAGACAAACGGCACAGTAGTTACTGGCCCAACCAAGCTCTGATACCAAATTGAATTTTGTAATAAGGCTTTAAGGTTGAATATGGAGAGATAATAGAGATAGAAAAGAGAAAAGAAAGAACATAAAGGTTTAACGTTCAACCAATATTGGCTTACATCTACACACACAAAGCCCTATAGGCTACATCTTTCATTTACTTAACTTGATATTCTTGTTTATATGATACACCACATATATAGAGTGGGAGATACAATGAAATTCCTTTAGTTGAGAAATTGAAATAAATCAAAGATACAAAAAATCATAATAAGCATAAATCATGGGATCTTCATATATTCTAATATCTTTCATATCTTTTGATATCTTTGACAATATAATCTTATCTCCAACGGCTACTTGGCTTTGCAAATTGAGACTTGTGTTGAGCAAAAGTTTTTTGACTTTTAGTTTTAGGGTTAATCCAATACGGATTATTTATTTTTTTAGTGTTAACAGTCACGTGCATTAAGCAATATATGTATTTAAAAATTCCTATACTAGTTTTAACTATGAATTATATAACCAACGGGATATTAGAGTCCTTTTGTATGTGTAATACTGGGAATAGTACTCATGTGTTCATTTTATTATTTCAATGTCATGTCATGGTCATATTACATGAATTTGTTTTCCATTTTGGGGGGAATCCTACCACCTTCATTACTTTATTTCGTTGTGATTGTATTGTTGTTTCAATTAATCCATGACTGTAACTTGCTTGTGATAGGAACTTGGCTGGAGAAATAGCACAAGAGTATACAAAACGACAGGTTGACTTTCCTTTCTTTTGAATTGTTATAAGAGTTTCTGCTCATTGACCCACTACTAAGCGGGTATATAATTTTGGTCTGTGTATAGGTCCAAAGTTTAATTATGCAAGGTCTTGTATGTTCAAATTATTTATCATGTTGCTGGATCTTTCTTTCTCTGATAATATTCTGTTACCCTCTTAATATCCATTACTTTGTTTGACATTTATGACTGGTATTGTATCGATAATATTGAGTAATCAGCTCATTTAGTTCCATAAATATGAAATTTTGGCCTTATTTCTTTATTATAGTATGCTGTTTTTTTTGTTTTTAATAAATATATTTATTTTAATTGTTAAAACTCATCTTAAGTTTATTTGCTTGCTTCACATAAAACATTTCAGAGCAAAGAGGCCCTTATCGATGATCTAATGGAACTTGTACAACAAATTGTTGCTTTCCACATGAAGGTACAACTTATTTAAAGTTTTTGAGTGGTTCACCTCTTTATTACTAGGAAAAAGTATTGACATATTGAGGAAATTGGTTTTTAAGTATTTCATCAAACTATAGCTTGGGAAAACATTTCGTGGGAGTTTATTTCTAATCTTTTTGCATCTGCCTTGCAGCACAATGCTGAATATGAGGCTGTAGATCTTTTGATGGAGGTATTATTCATCGTCATATTTCGTATCACTAGTCTCACTGTGCTTGAAAATATTTTATTTAAGAGTTATTTTGAATTATTCCAGGTTGAAGACCTTGATTTGTTAGTGGAACATGTGGACAAAACAAACTATAAAAGGACATGCCTGTACCTCACCAGTGCAGCAAGGTTAGTGAATCCTAAGAATCTTAAGTTTATCTTTTGAGTTTGCCTTCCTGAATGATGAGTTGTATTTTAATACCTTTTGTTTAGTATCTGAACTATGCAGTGATTTGCCATAAGGATTTTTTAAACTAAAAATTGAAATTTGAATTCTATTACAATCTTAGACCATTTTGATGCACAGAATAAAGTAATTACGAAACTCTGATTTCCAATAGCTGTTTGGTTTAAGTACTTGATTAGCATTTGGTTTTAACTAATTCTAAAAGTTTTACATTGTTCTCTGTTACAGATTCATAAAGGTTTATATTATCTAATTATCTTACACTTCTAATTTTAATTGAATTTTATGATTTAGTTTAAATATTAATTGCAAATATAGGAGATGACTTTAAACAGACATGCTCATGCATGTACCTATATCACTGCTAAAGTGAACCTGCTTGTATTTTCTCCTTTGGAGCAACAATTTATGTATTGGCTAAGGAGTGTTTGAGTTGTTTGGAAAAAGATTAAAGCTATGATTGCCGATCAATATATATCTATTAAATTCATGATTGAGAAACTGGTAAATTTTTTTTATAATGTAGTGCATATTTTATGGACGCGTAAGTGAACCACACTATTTACATTTTTGTTTTATTTTGGATAAGAGGGGGTGGAGGTGGAGGTGGAGTGGGAAAATCATTATAAGGGTACCATATTAAAAAAAGTTAGTGTGTCACACAAGAGTGTGGCAGGTTGATGTAGATGGGTACAGTACTGATGGCTAATAAGGAGCAGCCTTGCCAAGCACCATGTCTACTCTCTTTCTACCAAAAGTTACAAGGTGTAGGATCTATTATTATTATTTTAAATAAATAAATAAATTATGCACACTACTCTATTATGGAAGATGACATTTTTCATTTTTCTGAATGTTGAAATTTGGAAAACAGAAATGAGGTTTTCTGTTCTTTCAGGAAGATGGCATTCAAAGAACATACTTTAGGAAGCCAAATTGCTATTCAGTTACATGCTTCATGGTGTTGTTTTGCTATTACCATTTCGTGATGTCTTGTGCCACTGTAGCTATGCCCCGAGACATGCACACAGAAACTTTTTTCGTGCTACTGATATTTTGTGATTTTAATCTTGCAGATACCTTCCTGGACCAGATGATATGCTAGTTTTGGATATTGCGTACATGATCTATCTAAAATTTGAAGAGTACCCAAGTGCACTTCAGATTGCTCTATTTCTTGACAACATGCAGGTTTGCTCTTCATTCTGCATGTCAAATATTTTCTTACCCCTCTTTGCCTGAGTAAAATAAATAATGAACAGTGGTATCAAAGTTTAAATTTTGTTGATAGTGTGACTGGACAACTATTATACCGTTCCATTTCTAAAAAAAAAAAAGAAAGATAGAGCAGATGATCTTTTCTTAGATGATATTCTCTCGTCCACTTTTCTGTTTTGACTCTTAATATTTCGTTTCATTGTATGTCTTGACAGTATGTGAAGCAGGTATTTACATCCTGTGATGATCTGCTACGAAAGAAGCAATTTTGTTACATCCTTGCTCAACACGTAAGTCTTGTTATTCTAACTTCTTATTGATTATACTCATCTTTCTTGTTTCACTTTTCAATATTATAAATAGCAGTGGGTTCAAGATGTGTAGAGATCATAGTTTTCCTTGATGAATCATGTATTCATTTTGATTTTCTCTCCTTGGCTGTATCTGGGGTCATTCCTCAACATTTGCCTCTCCCAAATACCATGAGCTACTATAGTTTGGTTATGTAAATGGTATCTTTCTCCAGTTATTAAATTTCAGCCTGATTGCTGTAGTATGATGTGTTGTAGTAACGTATCTTTTAATGTGCTTTATGACCTCCCTGTTGGACCTGATATCCTGGTACGGTATGGAACCTCGTCCCTTGCTTGGAAATAATTAGTCATACTGCTGTTCTCTTCTTGTTACTTTCTTGGTTTGGATGCCGACCGTGACGTTATTTTATAGATAGGTTTGGTAGAAGACATAAATCTGTGGAGTTAAAGAGTTGTATTTTGAACTAATTTTTCGTCTAAATGGAAACATACCAGATCTCTTTTTAGAAGCTTCGTCCTTGCATTGTTTTACTCTTGTTGCAAGTCATCAAGTTAATGCTTCGTTTTAATTGATTGCAGATAGTGTTTGGTTATTGATTTCTTTCATACAGGGTATTACTTTTGAGCTTGATGAAGAGATGGCTGCAGATGAAGACGAAAGGGAGGCATTGCAAGAAATTATCAACAATACTAAGTTAAGTGAAGGTTATCTTACACTTGCTCGTGATATAGAGGTCATGGAGCCCAAGTCGCCTGAGGATATTTATAAGGTTGGGACTTCTTAGATATCCATACTAGCTCTTGATTTGTCCTGTCATCTTGATAGTTATAATTACTGTTGCATATTTGAAAGGGGTTTGTATGTGTGTTATTCCTAATTGTTTCTTCATCAAACTTGCTATTCTTGCTTGGATTTAATTAGGCACATTTGCTCGATGGCCGGGCTAGTGCTGGTGCAAATGTTGATTCAGCCAGACAGAACTTGGCAGCTACATTTGTTAATGCATTTGTTAATACTGGCTTTGGTCAGGTAAAAGGGTGGTTCATTTGTGTAAGAAATTTTCGAGGCAAATATTTTAGGGATGGCCTCATGTAACATTTGCTGCTTATATTGTGGCAGGATAAGCTAATGACAGTCCCAGCGGAGGCTTCAAGTGGTGGTTCTTCAGGAAACTGGCTCTTTAAGAATAAAGAACACGGAAAAGCCAGTGCTGCAGCAAGTCTGGTATGTTCCCCTCCCCTTTCAGTCTATTTGCTGGTCCAAGTTTCTTTATTGCTGGATTATCACCATTTTTCCTTATAGGGTATGATTCTGCTTTGGGATGTTGATTCTGGACTTGCCCAACTTGACAAGTATTTCCACAGTAATGACAACCATGTCATAGCCGGTGCATTGTTGGGAGTAGGTATTGTGAACTGCGGTATCAAGAATGACTGTGATCCTGTGAGTTATACTTTGGCATTTTTCTGTACACAAGTCCTGTGACTGTTATGTATTTGGAAATCCTAAATTTTCTTTTTTCAGGCATTGGCACTTCTTGCTGATTATATAGATAAAGAGGATTCTTCTGTCAGAATTGGTGCAATAATGGGTCTGGGCCTTGCTTATGCTGGTGCCCAAAATGAGCAGGTGAGGTTCCTTGCATTTTTAACTGGTGGTTTCTTGGTAGGCCATGAAAATAATACTATGTCTGATTCAAGAGGCACATCAGTGGAATCATTCTGTATATTCTACCATAGATTGTTAATTTCATCACAGAAGTTACAGAATACACACAAATAGAGAGGGAGAGATAAAATTTGATGAGTACTGGAGATACCTTCCCTTCTCTTTGTACAACATGTTTAATTATAGTTGATGTTGATTAATTTATAATTTTTCTCAGTTCCATAGTTAATTGTCTTGTATCCGTGGAATGCAAAAACATCATTTGACTTGTTCCTCTACTTTCTTTGTTTGATATGTTTATTTCCCGTTGAAGCGGACTAATCTAAATTGTTTGTCAGATCCGTAGTAAATTGACTCCTATCCTTGGAGATAACAAAGTGCCTCTTGATGTGATTGCGTTCACTGCTATTTCATTGGGCTTGGTATATGTTGGTTCCTGTAATGAAGAGGTTGCTCAGGCAATTATATTTGCATTAATGGACCGAAGTGAATCAGAATTGGGGGAGCCCCTCACTCGACTTTTGCCTCTTGGCCTTGGCCTTCTATACCTTGGGAAGCAGGTAACTAAAAAATGCAAGCTGCGGGGCTTATTTTATTTTTTTTCTATTTTATCACAGATTATTCTTTTTCAAATTGTGATAATTAATTTTTTTTTTATTTTTTATTTTTATGGTGGTGTATCTGAAAATTATTATTTATTTATTGTTGATAACACCTTATAGACTCTGGACTTGATTCTTATTTACATCATTTGTTTTTGTGGTGTTTTTTTTCTTTGGAATCCCATTGTGTCGTTTAACAGGAAAGTGTGGAGGCAACAGCAGAGGTTTCTAAGACATTTAATGAGAAAATTAGGAAATATTGTGACATGACCCTACTTTCCTGTGCTTATGCTGGAACTGGGAATGTGCTCAAGGTGTTTACTCTAACCCCTTTAATTTCAATTGGAGTCGACTGTTATGTAGATGAAATAGCTTACTCTACTGTTTATTTTCACATAGGTCCAACACCTTCTGGGTCAATGTGCCCAACATCTTGAGAAGGGAGAAACCCATCAGGGACCAGCTGTACTTGGAATTGCTATGGTAGCAATGGCTGAAGAATTGGGACTTGAAATGGCTATTCGCTCATTAGAGCATCTATTACAGTATGGAGAGCAGAATATCCGAAGGGCAGTTCCTTTGGCTCTTGGTCTTCTTTGTATATCAAACCCTAAGGTAAATTATCCTGTGATCTTTTCCAAGCTGAGCAACCTTGGAACTGGTGTTTGAATTGCAGTTGAGCTAAATTATAGTCACTTTCTGTGGGTATATTGCTGAGTAATTTATGAATTGGATGTTCTGACCAGGTCAATGTTATGGATACATTAAGCAGACTTAGTCACGATACAGATACAGAAGTAGCAATGGTATTCTCGCTTTCATATAATATATGAGGACTATAGTTAGTATTATCGAATCCTTCTTAGTTACAGCCTAAATCTTGACATATTTATCTGGATTCTACAGGCTGCCGTCATCTCCTTAGGGTTGATTGGTGCTGGAACCAACAACGCTAGAATAGCTGGCATGCTTCGCAATCTTTCGAGTTACTACTACAAAGAAGCTAGCCTTCTTTTTTGTGTAAGTTTCTCTTGGAATTTGTTCCACAGTGCGTCTCAGATTTTATTTCTTTCTTTCTTTTATTTTTATTTTTTATTTTTTTAAGGGGTTCTGTTTTAATGATTTGTGTTGGCCACTTGTGCAGGTACGAATCGCCCAGGGTCTTGTACATTTGGGAAAAGGCTTGTTGACTCTTGCTCCATATCATTCTGAGCGCTTTTTGCTATCCCCGTAAGTGTTTCTTCTCCCCCATATTACCTTTTCTATTTTAGGGTGTGGGTTAGAACTGATTCACATACATACATATCCAGCAGGAGATGAGCAAGTTTCAACAATGGGAGACTTCTTCCAAAGTGGTAGTTTTCACATCAGGACTGACCCGTTAATTGGGATGTTTCTGTTGAATCTAAAGGTTTTTTGTTAGAATTTTGATGGCACCTAAGCTAGTCCATGTAGTTTAAACCTACCATTTCAAGTGGTTCATTCCGCTTTTAGTTAATATCCCGTATACAGGGGAACAATGGTTTGTTTCCCATTTAAGAGATTTATTTTTGAAAGAAGAATTATTCCACATTATTTATGTGATGGAATTCTAGAAATGAATCAATAGCATTCATATGGAATTTCCAAACACACTAGAAACAAACAAAAAAATTCGTCATCCTATGAGCATCTTTTGTATAAGAGAAGTTTTGGTCTTAGATACAGCCGAGTGTTGGAAGAAGATTCAATCAGATGATCCAAATAAGTTCAGCTTGCAGCTCTGTTGGGTTAAGAATGGTGTCAAATGCTTCATGCATTCACTTCTTCGATAGGGTAAATCATTCAGTAGAGCTAAAGGAATATATGATCTGTCTTGTCTGCAAAGTTTGTTTACTGTTGTAATCTGTAATGTGGCTATTTTGTCCAAAGCTGTTAAAAGGCTGTCATGTGGAATAAAACATTTTTATTTATAAAAAAAATAATAAATAAATAAATAATTTGTGGGATAAAGCATATTGGGAGACGGTTACAAATATGAAGTTTTTAGATTATCATCTAGCCTTCTTTTTTGCAATTAAATGAATAAATAAATTTTAATGTCTGTGAGGAGGAGTATTTTTAAGTCATACCTCTGGCTTTTCTGTCGGCTCACTTTCTGTATGTATTTCATCTTTTTCTTCCAGAACGGCACTGGCTGGAATAGTAACCTTGCTGCATGCATGTCTTGATATGAAAGCGATCATATTGGGGAAATATCATTATGTTCTTTACTTCCTCGTTTTGGCAATGCAGGTTTGGTCTCAGTTTATAACAGCTTGTGTACTTCTATCTCACTCTTTTTTGCTTTTAATGATTGGGCTGTTAACACACTACTACTAATGGTTGATTATGTTATATATTTCCTTCAATACTACAGCCAAGAATGCTACTGACAGTAGATGAGAACTTGAAACCTCTGTCAGTACCTGTGCGGGTGGGCCAAGCTGTCGATGTTGTTGGCCAGGCAGGTCGACCCAAGACCATTACTGGTTTCCAGACCCACTCAACACCAGTTCTTCTGGCTGCTGGTGATAGAGCAGAGCTTGCTACTGAGAAGTACTACATTTTATCTCTTGAAAGGTGTACTATTTGACTGTTTACCTGTTGCATTACTAATGTTTAATTCTGTGTAGGTATATTCCACTCTCTCCCATTCTTGAAGGCTTTGTCATTTTAAAAGAGAACCCAGACTACCGTGAAGACAATTAACTATTGACGAGCATACAAGTGGAGCTGTTTTGATTCAAAATGCAACTGTGTCCAGACCCACAGACTTGGGGCTTTGTGAGATCTTATCTTGTTTGGGATGAGGCTCAAGTCCAACCCTTCTGATTTATATTTTCTGAGTTTCACCCAATGGACTGTGTGTTGGTAGCGCTACCTGTTTTCATAACTATATGAAAAATAGAGAAAAAAAGTGGGAGAGGGGAGCGGTAGGGGGTTTCGGTTTGCTTTGCCTGGACTGTTTTTGTACATGCTGTGTACCGGAATATTATGGATGAAAAGCATGAGCTGGTTTACATTTTTATTCTACTTTTAAATTATGAGGGTAATTTAAATTTGTTATGATGACTTTGACCACTTCAATGGGAAGCCAATACATTCTGCTATGTTTCTTTTGATTATGCTGTGTATTTTTTTTTCCGTCTCAGTCTTTGCAAGGTATTTTGTGTATGATTTCCCAGTTTTTGACTTCTGATAGAGCATTTTTCAGTTGAAGCCTGTTGATATGAAATCTGAACCCTCCAGCAGGAGGTTTGACCATTTCGCGTTAGTACCCCAAAAGGGTCAAACATAAGGAAATAAATAGAAGATGATCTTCCGCCCAGGATGAACATTCTTTGCCGCCTAGATTACATTGTTTTTGAAAGATATTTGAGATGATTATATTTTATGATCTTTGCATACATTATTGTTTGGTGTAGACTGCTGTTATTGCAAGGACAATGAATGCATAGTAGTACTAAAGGCTGCTCTATGCTTGTAGTTTCTGTGCCCTTTCTAAATCTTGTCTCCCTTGTTAACAATCGAGGATCTCTCAACTTGTTCTCTTCCCTCTAGACTCTGTTTGGTTCATGGATTTGAAGAGAGATTTGAAAAAGAAAAGAGCAAAGGTAGGTGAAATATGAATGAATATAAGTATATTGTACTTATGTTTCACACATTTTTTTTCTTTCCATTTTCAAATCAATGAATCAAACAGAGTCCTAATCTCTTTTGATCTCAACTTTTTGCAAGTCAATTCTACATCTTCAGTCAAGTATTCCTTCTTCTCCCCCCCTCCCCCTTTTTTTTCAGTATATGATTCCAGTTGTGAATGAAAACCTAATTTTTATGTATCTGGTTTGGGTTAACTAGTGTCATTTGGTCATGTGAGCTGGTATGGTTGCCTTCGTCAAAAGTAGCAGGGTGGGCAGTCAGTTCAAATATGTTCCCTTGAATATGCTTCAGTTCTATCTGCTTTGGTATGGACCAAGGATAGTAAATGAATTACCTGCATGTTAATGTTTTAACTGATGTTAAATTTTTGTTTAAACAGCAAAGGGGAGCTAGGGACATTGAAACTAGCTTAGCCCTACGGATTTTTGTTATCTGTTTCATTGCTCAATTTTTTCATTCATACAAAATCACCATTAGTTGTACTAGTCAGCTTCGGCAGGCAAGGATTAGCTCTATTTGCAACCTTTTGCTGTATACCCTCAAATGCAGTTATCCACTTTCCCTTTAACAATGGTTAACTAGGCAGTAAATATCATTTTAAGTTTGCTCCTTGTTATCTGATGTACATCGTAGTTGATCTGTTCTCTGCTTTGGAGCTCACTACTCTCAAGATCAATTCTGTCAGTATCCCCAAAAAACTTTTGATAATTTATTTTTATTTTTATTTTATTTAATTAGGCATACTAAGCTTGAATAATTTCAGAACTAAAATTATATGCAAGGGACCATGACTTCCAGAATATGTTGGCAAGGGTGGTCCAATTTGAATCTTGCCTCCCCTCACCCAGACCCTTGTGTTGTCATGTACCCCCCACCCAAAATAAGAAAGAAAAAAAAAGCTACAATATTATTGGCAGAGGAGTAAAGAAGTTAAGGATATTTGAATCCTTAGTTTTCTTTAATACAGAAGATAAACACAAAAATAACTTCATACTCACTGTAAATTGTCCCATCTAAGTTGTTCAAGGATTACAACATTGGATACTAAACATGAAAACACAAGGTGGTTCATAAGGTTTATGATATTCAACAGATTACTATTAGACACATTATCAGATGGAGGAAGGCTAAGACACACAGCAACCAACAAACTAACATGATGAATCCATTGGAAAAACAGTAATTTCCCCAAAGCAGTCATGGTAATATTGCATTAGCAAGGATCCCATGTCTGACATATATATATATATGTGAGATGGACTGGTCCTAAAAGTTACATACGAGAGATCAACAAGGGTACAGAAACCGGAGTCTCCTCACCCATGACTGGCTGGAACAGATCCAATTCCCCGTAACGCTCCAGGACACGCATCCTGCAATCCTCAGCGGCCATTAATCCAGTTGAGTATGCACCGTGCACAGACCCTGGGTAGTCTACACTTGTCGCCTCCCCTGCAAAAAATAGGTTATCGACAGGGATCCTTAGCCTCTCATACAGATCATGGGGTTTCCCTACTGCATCATAGCTATAGGATCCAAGTGAGTTTTCATCCATGCCCCATCGAGAAACAAGATATTGAATCTGCATCAGCAGCACAGACCAGAAAAACATTAATGTTACAGCCAACAGAAAATTCCAACATGTACATGCAACTTTTTCTGACTGTTAATTTTATGCCTCGTCTCATGAATGATTCTTTTTCCTATATCATATAGATTCTCATCCACAGGTTAGGGCTAGGGCATTAACCAAGTTGTTCGTGAGCTTGGCTAGGCTAGGCTAGGTTCGGTTCGGTAAGGGCTCGGTTTGTTATGTAAATAAACAAGTTCGAGCCAGACTTTTAGGTTTGCTTAATAAACAAGGCAACCTTGCGCTTGAATAAGGTCGGATTGTTTATTATTTATTTAAATAATGTGAACATGTGTATAAATAATAGGATAAATATATTATTCATACATTAAATAATATAAAAATATTATTTATATATTTAAATAATATAACTAAAACCCCCAAAAAATTCATTATCGACTGAGCTTGATTAGTATTAGTGAGCCGAACTTGAGCTGTATTAATTTTCAAGCCGAGCATGAGCTAGAATGTCAAGCTCAATAAACCAAGAAGCCAAACTCGTCTTGGTTTGGTTCAATTCGTTTGCAGCCCTCATTAGGGCAGATATGAACATTTGTGCATCATAGACAAGTTTTCTGTGGAAATTTGAGAACTGCGACTCCATCAGTTCCGCTTAAAGGTCACCAAGCTGCTAATTTGACCTACTGGTAAATGGGGAAAAGATAATGAATGTTCACTACAGAAGAAGAAAAAAAAATACCGGGGCAGAAGCATCAGGCAAGATTTTCTTCAGTTGCTTGAAAGCAAAACTAGCTGCAGCTTCATCTGACATTTTCTGAATGTCGAGAGCTAGCTTCCCTGCAGGCATATAAACAAGGACAGAATGACCGGTAGCCTTGTGAAGGTTCAGAAAGTAGCTGCATCCATATGAAGTTTCTGCAACCACCCCCAAGAATTCTACATTAGGCCAAAACACATTCTCAAAGTGCAAGACGATCTTGTTCTCAATCCCCACTCCAAGGTCAGCAATAGCTGATTCCTTCCACTCAGGAAGCCTTGGCTCAAATTTGATGGTATTGGATTTCAGAACACCAAGAGGAACAGTAACAATAGCAGCATCTGCTATGAATGATCGCCCATCTTCAACAGTAACCTTCACTCCATTGTAACGTCTGACAATTTTTTTAACCCTTTGGAACGAATATAAGGATAAGAAAGGCAAATTAGGTCACAGCCAAATTCAAGGCCAAATCACAGGATGGTTGAATTGATAATTAAATTTTACCTGTGGTTCAAGCGGATGTCAAGACCTTTGGCAAGTGTATTAATAACAGGGAGATAGCCCCGCACCATGAGCCCGTGACCACCAGGAAGCAGTTCTTCCTACAAAACGTAACAGATATGGCAAGACAAATGTAATTTTTTCAGTTTGCATCCTGCCAATATATAGCCAATTTTCTTCTATGTTGCTTTGAACATATTTACTCCATTCTATGTAATAACAATAAATAACAAATTGCGGGGAAAATATCGTACTTTTTCGAACAAACCCCACCCCCAATTCCCCTGTAATGCTGGTTAAAGGTTGTCACTTTTTGTTACACAAGATTAGGAGGACCCTTCACCAGATTAGACCATTGAAAAATATACGGCCCCAATCAAACTCACGACCAACAGATTCAATTGTGTACGACAATGCCGAATCTAATTTGATTTGGTATGATGACAATAAATTATTTGTAGAAAGAAATATTGATTTGAACAAATCTCATATTCTGTTGAAAATCCAATGTGTATTTGTTGTGAAATCAAAACTAGTATAATGGGGAGAAAACAAGAAACTTACCTGATCCCAGCATTTAAGTGAGATGGTATCAGCATCTGCAGCAAACCAACCTTCCATTCTGCATAAGTACCACTGCAACACCTTATGAGCAATCCCTTCCAACCTGCAATAAGAATCTTTCTGAATATACCATTCTTAACTAGAGTAACTAAAGTATGATGCTACATTTAAGTACCTTAACTCTGGCTTCCTTTCAAAAACAATTGAGATAGCACGAAGTATAGACATGTCTTCACTATAATTTTGCCTTACTTTATCTGTCTGCAATAACAAGTGAAAAAGCAACTTAAGAAATGTTTGCTAAACCAGCATCACATCACACCTAGAATACAATAAGAACCAAAGATCGTATTCTCAAACGTACTTTACTGCAATGCTTTATTCAAGTTCCAATTGTAACAATAATAAGTCATTTAAGTTCCACACAGACAGACACACATTTTGTGGTGGCAGAGAGAGAGAGAGAGAGAGAGAGACATGCCTCTTTCAAAATGCTCTCAAATGCTTCGCCAATCTTCTTCACTAAATCCTGAGGAACTTGATTCCCATCCATATCAAAGAGTGCATAGCTGAAAAATACAATAAATTCTTTAAGGGTTGTATCAAACCTAATGCTTTGTACATATCTAACATTTATTGATGTCAAATACAAATAAGAGTTTCACAAAAAAATTCATATGCAAACTAAGGAACTTCAATTATTTGGTCTCAACTTAGTGATTTTCCAAATCATCTTCAAACTGATTTTACATCAATAGTCGATAATGTAAAACCAAAGTTATTGAATGTTTAAAATCTTAAAAAAGCAAATACACATCTTGACCAGGGAACACACCAACTTTATGTTACACCTGGAACTCAAGCAATGTAAGTGGAAGCTCCACATAAACCAAAATGCATATCTTAACCAAGGAAAATACTTTGCAATACACCTGCAACTCAATTAGTGCTGGTAAAAGCTAGGGACATCATAAGCAATAAAGAATAATTACCTTTCCAAATCATGATCATATAATACAGAGTTGTCACCACTAGTACGGTAGAGAGGAAGTCCTAGTCTTCCAATCAACGGTGCCAAAGGATTTTCTTTGCAGACCCCATGCAACCTGAAACATCAATACGAAGATACAACTTGGTTGTAACCAATAGAAGGTATCTGAAAAATACACCAAAAGAAAAAGTCAAAAAAATGTAAGTTACCATGATGCACCCAGGTCAATAGGGAAACCAAATGAGTAATCTGTGTGAACTCGACCACCAATTCTATCCCGTGATTCCAACACGACAACCTGAAATAAAATATAGTTAATACCACCTCAGTATCTCCATATAAGAAGTCCACCTAGGAACCAAATTATAAAAAGATTCCAGCAGAGTCAAAAAGGGAATATCTTTCTCCAGTAAGTCAATATGCACAAAAATATTCCTCTTTGTCATGAAAGAAATCTTTGGACATGGCAAATCCTCAATTTCATTCACCCAAAAAACAATTCCTCAATTTCCACACATGAAGACATGGTTTACAGGGCATTTTTACAGTAAAATGTAAGAATAAAGTTCACACTTCACAAAAGAACTTGCCTATGTTGTTGGGATAAACAGGGCACTCATTTGTGGCTTGCCTTGTGGAGCAAGATGGAGGTACTGTACCCCAGAATTTTCTATATGCTTTAAGTACTCATATTCGCAGATCAGCTTCAAGTGTTCAACTTAAAGCTATCCAAGATATAAATATAATCGAGGGACACTAAGATTCAAACTTCAACTACACCAAACATAGGCAAGCTCATATATAGATATGCCAACATTACAATTAGGAGAGTACATCAAAGTGCTGGCCAGAAAATAATCAAGATAACTAGTTAGTTGTGCAAGTTCATCAAAGTTACGGAAAAGAACATGCAACAAAAATTTTTAAATACTAGATGTCGATAAATGTGTACAGAATTTGAACCACCAAAAAAAGGTATTTCGCTATCCATCATATTAACAATCATTTAGCATTATAAATATATAAGATGAATGCATACCATTCTTGGTTAAATAACTATAACAAATACCTGAAATGAAGCATCATGAAGGGCCCGAGCAGCTGCCATACCGGCAAAACCACCACCTATGACGATGACTGAGGGTGAGGCACCATGTCTCCTCTCAACATTTGAATAGCAAGGAACTACAAAAAACAAAATGAACTTAGATTCTCATATTGGGCCTTGGAGCTTAACTGGCACAAATTGATAAATGGTTCAAATAATGGCAAAGTCAGTGATTGGGCATGCTGATACACACATATTAAGAGTCACATTCAATGAACTAACATCACTATAATATGGCTCCACATCTACTTCCAATCACACTCTAGCCAAGTATAGAAGTTAAAAACATCTTGGTCATCATCAAGACAAAAACAGTTAACAGAAACAATGATAGACAACATATTTTACACACACTGGACATGCTACCTATCATTATTCAGAAATGCAGGCAAGAAACAACTACGTAGAGGCAATTATGGACCACAAACACAAAAGAAGTAGCAAAGATATTAACTTCTGTAACAGAATCGTGGGTGAATAAATAGGCAAAGATAGATGGAAAAAAATAATTTATTTCTTAAAACAAAAATTGATCAAAATAATCTCAGATAAAGTATTGAAATTAATGTGTCATTATACCTAAAAGACATACAATGCAAATTTAACTACAAAAGATTTTTCAGTATCAATCTTGAGAGTTGCTTCTGTCCTGACATATCCCGCCTCAATTTCCATTTAAAAAAACTGAGTCCTTGCCTGAATGTTGAATCAAAGGCATGCCAATGTCATTGTTCACCCTTCCCCCTCTAGTTCTAGGTTAAAGACTCAATTTTTTTCTACTTCTTAATTTTATGTGGATAGATACTTTCCAATGCAGATTTAAAATCTTTCAAAATGTACATAGATGAATAGCTCAAGAAGGTTGCAACCCATAATAAAATCATAATCTTCATCAAATTGTGAGTAATCCACACAAAATGGATTAAGTTAAGCCAAGAACAACATTTGGGAAAAAAGTTCACATCTACCCAAGAACATCTTAAAAATGGGTGTGCGCACTGCGCACTTTTAATCAATACAAACTGACACTCTTCAATTATGAGAGGATATATTGGATAAAAAAAATAGGGGATAAAAAGAAGTACCACTATCATAAAACTAGAACAATACCGAACAGTAAGAATTGGAAGGTAAACAACATCAACCAATAGCTGCTCAAGCAGAAAAATATCTTGCCCCATAAAGACCAAAGCCTACGCACTACCCAGTAACTGATGATGATTTGATAGCAATGATTGAGAACATGATTTTTAAGTAGAAGACAACGGTACTGGTGGTAAGCCTAATATCAGCTTCTTTGGTCTCGTTTGTCATAGATTAGTTAAAAAGCCCCTACAAGTTGTCACATTAGTCTATTTATTTTTTTATACTTCTATTTTGTAAAAAAATCAACTAAAATAGTTAATTTTATCCACCATTTGGCTATAATGATGGCATAATTCAAATTACATAGCTATAATTTTTAAGAATAAAAAAAGCGACATACATATTCAAAGGGAAAGCATACCATTTTTTCGATTGGGGGATCCGCTACATCTATGCTTTTTAATCACGTATAAGGAAAAATCGAAAAGGAAAATGCATGAATTTTAGAGCAAGGATCCTCTAGAGTATTTTTTTCCTAAAATTTCCTAGAGTGGTGCGTTGTGTGGTCGAGATTTAATGACAAGTCACATCAATTTTTCAGCATTAAATCTCAACCACACAATACACCACTTTAGGAAACTTTAGGAAAAAAATACTCGAGGATCCTTGGTGTGAATTTTAATCTAATTGACAATTGAAGTATAATGCAAAAAGGAAAAGGCCAATGCATGATTTTCAACTAATATTATAACAATTATTCATATCACAGGCTCTCATCGGCTTATCAGACAAGTAATTATTACAAACTGACAGCTTAAAATCAGACCAGTCCATAATTCTCAAAAAATAAAAATAAAAATAAAAATAATAAATAATAAAAATAAATAAACCCACCGACAAAGAAAAATTAATTTTTTAAAAAAAAAAAATTTAAAAAGAGGAAAAATTAAGAAAGAAATTGTGAACAAACCCTTGGTTAATTGGCGATTACTCTGTTCTCGCGACTCCATGATTAGACGACGATCGGCAATGATTAAAGAGATTACTGTGATTAAAATTACTTAACAACAGCAATAATAACGATATTAATGAGAAGTTCGCTCTAGGTTCCAAGGGTTTCTCAAAATTAAACAAGGTAAGAGGAGGCAATTGAGGTGAGTAATGAAGAATAAAAACGAGAAGGCACGTTATGAAGTGGTTTGAATTCGAAGAAGAGAACTCCAGATTGACCAAACAGCTCATGCGCCTATTTTTCTATACCTAACTCACACACACACTCTCTGTCTCTCTCAAAAAGCAATTTTGCTTTCTTCAATCAAAATCAATCTCTCTCTCTCTCTCTATCTCTATGCATGTAAATTCACACACAAAATTGAATCCCGATCGGCCAAAATTGAGATCAGATGTATCAAAATTGTATGATTCTGATCAATTCAATGCGTCTGAGATCTGAAGAAAAATGCCAGAGAGGAAATGAGGAATCGTATGTGATGAGAGAGACAGCGAGAGAGTTCTAGAGAGAGAAAGTTTGCACGATGCTTTGGGTTGGAAATTGAATCGGCTTATTGGGTTACGACGGTACGTGTGTGCTTGGGCATTTTATAGAGATTTTTTTTGTGTGAGGAAGTATAGCAGTCGCGCGTGTATGGTTAAGTGAGTACTCGCTTGTGTACCGAGAGAGAGATTTTGACACGTACCAGGCGAGATGGTTTGCTACAGTATGTTGACGAAACACGCTAATGTGTGGACAACAGCCGAAAGCAGCGAATATAGTGAGGGTTTTTGAAGGAAGGTTCCACGTGGTAGGAGATTATTTGACGGAAGTGTAGCGTAGGAGATGTCATCGTCATGGACGTGGACAGATGAACAGTGATCCGTCATATTCTATTGCGTAATAAAGCTACTCTAATTCGGAATTTAAAGCCTAACATTAGATCTCCCAAATAATTTATTAAGAGATTGTTTGGGATGACTTAAATAATTATATTTTTTATCTTTTTATGAAAAGATGTGCAGAAAAGTAGAGAAGTGATGTGATGAAAAAAAGATAAAAAAATAAAAATATGGATTATTTTTGGATTGCCAAACTCGACCTAAATATTTTATTAAATTTCTCATATGAGGGTGAGACTCATATACATGTGGATTTATGTGAGTCACACACTTATATACGAGATTTAATAAAATATTCGGTAAATTATTTAGGACCTCTAACATTTTTCATTGTTGGATTTTGGGTAGAGTTATGCCAGGAACTCTAAATAAATTACTAAATTTTTTACCAAACTTCTCATAATGTGTATGAGTCTCACACCCATGTGAGAAATTTGATAAAAAAATTTGATAATTTATTTAAGATACATAGCAATTTCCTTTTGGGTAAATTATATTAGGAGAATTTTAGTATACATATTTTATATTACATTTATTTTTAATTGAGAAATTCATTTATAAATTCTATTTAAAGGATTTATAATTCAATAAGTTCATAAAGTTTATAAAGTTTTCTTATGTTTCATCTAATCTCATATATTTAGATTTGTATTTTAGGAGGTTATTTTTTCCTTATTTATAATATTTTTAGGATTAATATACCCTTTGTTCTATTTTTAATAGTAAATATTACACACAATTGTAATATTCTTGTTTCCTTTTTCTTTTCTATTTTGACAGTTTTGAAATTAGTGGGATAAGTTTCTTTAAAAACTAAATATCTATTATAAAATTATAATATTGACCAGAAAACATGGTTAAAAAAGAATCTTGCAGCACAAAGAAACTTCCTCCCACACTCTCTCTCATGCTTTCTCTCACATACTCTCTCTCTCATTTGCCTGTTTGAGAATTGGGAAAAATTACAAGACAACAAAAACTCAGAGAGATGCATTGAGTGATGATCATCAAAGAAATAAACAAAATAGAAAAAACCTATAAAGAAGCTCATCATCATCATCATTATCGTCATCATCATTCTTCTATTGTTGCAGTTTGAAACTCTGTGCTTTTCCATTGTTACAGTTTGAAACTCTATTTTCTTCCAATATTGTAAGGGCAAGGTTAGCACCATTTTTGTTTTGCAACTACATATGGGTATGCGTTGGTAAGGATGCATGTTCAGAATTGTTTAATAATTTATTAAAGTTAGATTCATTTTTTGTTTCGAGATGGATTGATATAGTATTATATATCCGTGTATATGTATGTTTATTAATTAGATATTTTTGTGAATGTGAATGTGCACATCCACTAAAGTCATTGTTATTGTGGATTATTTGATTTTAATGTTTTGAATTTGGTGATGTGAAATTCAACATTAGAAACATGTGATGGTTGCATGATGTGCAATGTAAACTGATGATTGTATGATTGTTGCACAATGTGAATGTTCACATTTACATATTACTGACTATTGTATGAGTTTTCATGATTTTTACATGATTATTACATGGTGTGAAAGTTCACATTGGTGTTGTAATTATCACATCTTTAATCAATGTTAATATTTAAATTTAGAAATAGTCATATAAACGTAAATAACAATGTGATATTTTGGTCAGAACATATTGTGCATCTTAGTAATATAACATAGAGATGTGAATGTTCACATCAATATTCGCGAATAGTTATATGCACACAATAACAAATAATTACCAACAATGTGAATGTTCACAACATCTATATAATACCAAAATAACATGATAACATTAACCATGTATCACTCACAACAAATCATAATTAATGTTAATATTCACATTAAAAAATCATTGTGGGTGCTGATTTCTGATCACACTGTCAAACAGGAACTCAGCAGGAGAGCACAAGTAGAATAGATCACACTTGAACAACCTGTCACAGAAAGATAAGACTTCGGCGGTGGTTCGTCCATCCGGGGGCACTCCGTCGGTCAAGTCAGTACTCAGTTATCTCTCAAAAGATAGCAAACAGTGTTTAACTCACTAGCCAGAATACAAAAAGCATACCTTAGACCCACGAGGGTGCCTTACTTTTATAACCAACACCAACCTGATCCCTGTAGAAGCCTAACTTCAATGGACTTTGGCTCAATGCTCATCTTGGACTCTCAGCTAGATAGAGATAAACTCCCTAAGAGCTTTATCTTTACCCAGACTGAGGTCCTCCCCCATTCTAGGACTCTTGTCCCTTATCCGCTCATCTCGGATTCTGGTATCTCCAAAGATAACCCTGGCCCAGCCGAGATCACCTCGGCATCAGAACCAAGACACATGGCACCTTGGGTGACACTTCGGCGTCACCTTGGCCACGTGTTGTCATTCACAAAATATGTCCCCACAACTGTCCCCTAGGTTCTATTACCTCGGCATCTTGAGGTGATAGAACCTACATCGTTTGTCCACATAGCACGTCGACTAAGACTTACTCCATCCTTCATGGCCGATATCATCACACATCGGCTTCTCTTGACCAAGACTCTGCAGTCTACTTTATCAGTGACCAAGAACCAAGAACCAAGAACCAAGTTATTTATGTTCTTTAACCGAGATCGCTCCTATAGCTGAGGTTTTTGTTTCATTAAATCAAGAACTCCAAGAGTCTTATCTGCGCATGAGTTGTCACGCACGGTTTACTCAACCGTTTTCTCCACGCGTCGCTCTCTTTTTGGTTTATACCTGACACGCGCTATTAGGTCGCGTCGCGTCTCGTTTGCACACACTGCCTGATAGACACGTCGTCAAAGGCAGGTCATAATGGTTTGTAGCCTTTTCGCGTTTTAACAAAACATCTTCCTCTCTTTTCGCCTCTTCACTTTGCATTCCTTCGTTTTTGCCCAAGCTTTCTCTCTCTAAAGTTTCTTTCCCAAAACTACTATTGTTCAAGTTTTCAAGCTTTGCAATTTGCTCCGATCACCTCCTCTAGCGAAGCATTCATCGTTTTTCTCCACTCATTACCACCGTCTGACTCCGGTGCACCTCAAACCGGTGTCCTCAACCTCAAACCCAACTGGTGAGTTCCTCGTTTTCTTCCAATTTTAGTTTCAGCCTTTCATTACTCTGTATATATTCCTTGTATGCCTATTCCGTTGCTGTTGAATTTGTTTTTATGGTTGTACTCTGTTTCTTCTTTGGTCATGAATCAATTTTCCATTTCTTTGGATTTTTGTGGTACCTTGAGCTTCATTACTGCATTTACTTGTGATTCGTACTGTTCAATCTATCTCCGGGTTTACATAAGTGCATACGAACTGTTTACACGCATGATATTTTAGCAATTTGTCATTATTCTTTGGCTTTTGCACATCTGCACACACTTACACAGTGTTCTTGAATTTCTGTTTGTTTTCTTGAGTCTGAATCATTGCTCTGTTATGTTTTTCTTGCTTATTTCTAGATCTTTTCCTTGATTTCTTGTTTCCGTATAGATCTAGGCCTTGGGCTTTGATAGAAATCACTATCTTTAGGAGAATTGAAACAAATTCCCCTAGATCTTGAAAAACCCTTGACCCACCCAAGGTCTTTCAAGCCCACACCAACCACTCTCTTCTGAAATCTTGCACCTTCTTCCTTTAGTCTACATCATGGATATGTTTAGGTAGAGGGTAGATACCCCAGAAAAATAGAGTATTTCCGTCAAGAGTTCTCTATCCCAGCCGATGTTCACCTTAGGCTGGCTGGGAAGGAGGACTCTATCATGCCTGATGAGGATTCCATACCCTTCATAGTAGTTGCTTTCATAGAGTGTGGACTTAGATTCCCTCTAGACACTCTTTTCTGAGAAATCCTTCATTATTACAAGCTTAACCCGATGTAACTGGCCATTAACTCCTATAGGGTCATCAATGGTATAATTGCTCTAGATAGCCGAGAAAACGCTAAGATAACACTAGCCGACATCCAATATTGTTATACCATGTATGGCCTGAAATCCGAAAAAGGCTACATCTAATACCTCAAGCCAAGATCCACAACCTACAAACTCATAGCCGACTTCCCAGACTTCAACAAAGGTGTTGGAGATGATTACTTCATTGTCTCAGGCAACTAGAAATTTGCACTTGACGATGACCTTCATCTCTATCCTCTGCGCCGATCGGTGTTTAAAGAGGATGAAGGTAAGAGCCAAGTGTCAACTTTTCTGCTTTAAGACTTATCACTTTATTTATATGTTCTAATGTATGAATTTTGTTCTTGCAGCTCTCCCTCAACCCTCAAAGGATTTTCGCTAGTCCTTCTTTTCCAGCAAGGACTTAAAAAGGCTGCTGGGCTTGCTAGTTGACCAGTGCAAAACCCCTCTGTTGCTCAACTACATTCTAATTTACAAATCTACCTTGCCTGACGTTCCTAAGAGGAGCAAGACTCCTCTCTTTGTTATAACTCCAACAGTTACCTCATCACCAAGGCCAGACCAGGCCTCATCTTCGGATCCAGTTGAGGTCGCATTAACGTTTGCACCCTAACTTATCCCGACATCATAACGTTGAGGTCAACGTCGAGCTCTGCCAAATGTACCAGCAGGCAGAACTCGTAGTCGCAAACGTCAAGGT